TAAAAGTCTTGAGATTTTTTTAATGAAATCGCAATGAAAACGGCAGTACTGATTCTCCTGCCGAAACCGAGGGAGATGCATCAAGAAATAAACAGCGAAATTATTACACTGTCACATTTGTAACATTGTTTTTATTCTTCCATTTACTCACCTAATAATTGTGGGGCTTCTTTCCAAGAAAGAATTAGGTGTTACAGGAGTGTAATTTATTTTTTTTTTTTTACGTTTCGTGTGTGTGTGATTGAAAGCGTGTGCGTACATCGCATTCTCCGTAAGTGGGTCACGTAGGGAGAGTTGTGACACTGCAGCAGTAGTGTGGACCGAACCCACAGTCGTCTCGTAACCACAGCGAAGCTTCGGGTAGCTCGGGGCTCTAACCCGATTGGGACATGCAAGGCGTGCTGCAATTTTTAATGTAATGTAGCAAGGCACGATGGGAACTTGGTTATAGTTGTGTACTAAGTCATCTCAGTGTAGGTAGGGGCCGTGGCTTGGATGTGAGGAATTTTTCCTGTTTATGCCTTGATTTTTCTGGGAAGGATCAAGAGTTTTGCTGCATGGGTATTTGGTTTATGCTCTTAGCAAATAAACAAATGTACTGTTCTTTCCTTAGGAGTAGGCAAAGGACTATATTATATATTTCTTTTTCATATGGATGGCTTTTCTGAAGTTTCCTCTTTTTTTCTCTTTTTCCTTTTTCCCAATTTTCTTGTGGTTTTTTTTTTGTTGTTGTTGTTGTTTTGTGGTTTTTTTTTTTTTAAGTGAGAGCAGAGGAAGTGACAGTTTCTGTGGCATATTAAAGCTCTTTCTTCTAAGGAACTCTAAAGTTGCTCTCTCTTTAAAACATGACAGCTTGTCTGTCTATTTCATCTTGATTACCTTGCTAGGCCTATTGACTCAAGGATTTGTAATGTGGCAAGACTAGTGCACTGTGCGCATTGCTTCTCTTGACTGATTGTATGGATCAGATGTATGGCAAATACGCATTTTTAATTTGGGAGGTTATTTTATTGCTAATAGCTTAATACCATTTCTTCCATTAATACATAGTTTTCTATCTGTCCTTCCACTTGAAAATATTGCCTTGACTTTCATAAAACCAAAACCAGCCAAGTCTCTGAATAAATAGATAAAAATCAATTTGTAAGAACTAACTTTGCAAACTGAATTAGGTGTATTTCAGACTTTTATTAATTCTCGATCCATGTGAAGCTGGCATAGACCCAAGCCAAGTAAAAGATGTAGATGTTTAGTTCTTTTCAGAGGTATAAAACCTGGTTTTAGATGCATAGGCTTTTTCTGTTGTAGTGGTAGAAGAGCAGTTCCCAAACTACTGAGATTTGAACAAAGAGCCACATAGATTTGGGCATTGGGAAGGACTAAGTGTAGAGACATGGCTGGGCACCTGCTTCCCTTTGAGGGTTTAGGTTCCCAGACCGGAACTGAAAATTGATTCTGTCTGCTTCAGTGCCAGAACCTGCTCCTGAGGTAAGTGTCGACTGGAATATTTTGAAAGAACTGAGAGGAGTTTCAGCCCTTCTTGAAATCTTGCAGGAAAGAGAGCTGCTGGAATTGCTTTTTTGCCTTATGGTGCCATGGAGCTTAGGGTACTTGCCAAGGGATTTGGAGGTGTTTGGTGTGGTGCTTGCAACAAGAAGCTCTAGTATTTCTTGTGTTGCAGACCAGTGCCTGCCTTTCTCATGGAGCTGCCAGTTGATACAGAACGGTGTGGCATACCTTCCTTTGTGTCGCTAAATCTTGGGCCCCTCTGCTGGCCCGCTGCTCAGAAGAAGAGCAAGCAGGAAGAAACACAGTATTTTTCTCATCTACCAGTTAGAATGCTCAAACCCTGAAATGATTTCAGGAATTTTTTTAAGTTTGTTTTTTTTTTTTCTCCCCATCCATGGACAAATGCCTTGATGCCTTTTGGGACTGCAGATTTTGATTTAGGCACCTTTATCATTTTATATAGTTCAGTTAAATCCTGTTGTGAATGCTGGCATCCTCTCCTGGTCTTCTTTCTGCAGCAAATTTCTGTGGAGGTGGGGTCTGTGCCCTAGTGGAGCACTTTTAAAGACGCTATGGTCCTGTACAGGGGTAGGAGATTGTGTACATTAGTTCGTTGGCTGGCTCTGGGTGCGAAAGCACATTATGAGGAACCTTGTTTAGGAAGAAACTCGTGCAGTGAAAGGGTTGGGATTTTTTTCTTCTTTGGAACAAGTACCAAAGCATAAATCTGTGGCCTTTTTAAGACATGGTCTTGAAAACCCAGGTGTGTGGGAGACTACTTCAGTTTGTGTAGAACATGAGCCTTCGTTTTGCAGCATATTATGCCCCCGTTGGTGGAAGGGCCTCGCCAGTACAGAAGAGGCCACACTGTTACGCAGAGTGTGCAGTTGAAGGTCTGCTGGGCTGTCGCTGCTGGTGGCAGTGTCTTTACAAAACTGCGCCGTCATGAACACCACAGAGGCTCATTGGTTTTAGCATCTGTTGCCTGGAACCTGGGCAGCAGTGAAGAGATGGCATCAGTGGGCACGTTCTGGAAGCTGGGAAGTAGTGGTGGCAGCCTCTAGGTCTCATGGGTGAAGAGGATAGAAGGGTAATGAGGGAGAGCCTCACTCATAGAGACAGTGAGGAATTTGGGGAGATGATGGGATAGAGAAAGTACATGGCATCAATCATAAGAAGTAGGAACTTGTGATGGAGTGGTGATCAGGTGGTTGGTGAAAACAGGAAGCGGAGAAAAACAATGCCAGTTCTTCCAGTAGCTAGTGGTGACCTGGCACTTAAAGCTGTTTGGGTCCCAGCCGATCAGAGGCTGATACGTATGATAGTGCCATCCTCAAAAGCACAGGCAGAACCAGCGTCTTGACGTTTCCCAGAGACCTGGGCAGAGAGTGGTGGCTTCTTATGTTGTGTTGCCCAAGGAGAGAGGCAATTTATTTCCGCCAACCCTTAATCCCCTTTGCCTCCTGCAAAAAAAAAAAAAAAAAAAAGTAAAAAATCCCTGAGTTGCTGATACAGTCTGCTACAAATGGATGAGTAGCATGGCTTTGTGTGAATGATGGGAGTGTGCTGTAGTTATAAGCTGGAGAGATGAGATGAGTGGGTGAGGAGGTAATGAACATAGTATAGGTACAGGTGCACAAGAAGTTGAAGAAGCAACAGAAGATAAGAAACTAAACACTGAGGACAACACAGACAAGATGAATAGGAAAGACATTTGTAACAGACTGGCTGTTTGTATCCTGAGTGGGCAGAAGTAAACCAATTTGGGTATAAATAATTCTTGCATAAATGACCGTATGAAACCTTGTTACTATCTTCTTGTTTCTGTGGCATGGCAGAAGTTGATTGCCGTCAGTCAAGCTATGCCTTGTATGCGAGGCTGAGAAACGCTTTTCCTCGGCTCTTGGTTCTGAAAAAAGCATCTGTTGAAAGAGCTGTTCCTGTTAACAGTGGGTGCTTCTGACGGGTGCATCAAGAATGCTTGATGGTTAGAATAATTGTGAGGTGATGTATGTCCAGCTGGACATCACGATGATTTGTTAGCTCAGCTGTCTTTAAAATACATGGGCCTTCTAACTGAACATGACAAAAATATGGGACCTCTTGGAAAATTATGAGACTGCTGCTGCTTTTCCTCCAGTTCAATTTCTGGGTCTATTTCTCCTCAACTTCTAACAATACATTATTCTCATATATAAATGAGCTGGTTGGTTAGCTGCAAAGAGTTGAGAAAAGTTGAGCTGGAAAAATGGTGAAGTCTAGAAGATACTTGCTACAGATTATAGTTGTAGATTTGTGTTTTAGAACAGTTGTTATTTTTTTCTTTTGTATGGCAGTTTCCCCCATGAAGAATTAATGTAAATGTTGGTTGATGTAATTTGGAAAGTTTATGATTCTTACGAAAACTGTGGGCAGAATCTTAATGTTTTTTCTAGGTCTTTTGTGAAAGTATAGTAGGAATGGGGAGATTTCTACCTGTCACTGTGAAAAATGTTTGGAGGATGAAGAATCACGTCTTCCACTTGTACAGAAACACAAGCAGAAACATGTAGTGACATTCTGTTGCCTTTTGCTGGTTCTGCACTAGTTGGACTAAGTGATTATTATATCACATTTTACCCAACTAGGTTTGCCTGATCCCGATTACAACACGCATATGTAAGCAGCAAAATTTAGATGCAGTTTCAATTTTAGTATTTTAACTTTGTGGTCGTGTTTGGTTCTTTTGTTAAGAAGATTGAAATCTTAAGTTGTTATGCATTGAAATGTTGACATTGTGTTCAAAGAAATTTGGTAGAATGTGACATTTTGTAATTTTTGAGAACTGGTGATATTTTTTAATAAAAAAGCAAATAGGTACTTTGTCTTGGGGCAGGAATTTTTAAAATAGTCACACATCTGGGGTTTGAAAACATCTGGTGATGTGTTCTGGAAGCAGTTCACATTGATGATTTCAGTTCCTTAAGTGACATAAGAGTAACTTTCTCCTGACTGCCCAAGTATGAACACAGAGGACATCAAAAGTGGTGTGTGTTTCAGATTATTAGCCATTTACCTTTAACTTACCTTATTGAGCTTTATTGATTTGACAATGCTATGTTCCCCACCATGCAAAAAAGACTTGAGTGTGAGCTCGCCTAGGCTTTGTCTTAATTTTTATTCTTTGTCAGGTAATAAGGAAATCCTATTTTCGTATCCCTTTATCAACTGCTTCTGATGTGTGTTTGTGGAGCTGTGGGGTTTTGAGAAACGGACCGGGAGTGCTGGAACTCACACTCCTCATATTCAGACCCTGGGTGTTTGGTATTCTAGAGTAGTATTTCTGGAATTCCAAACAGAGGTACCCTGAGTGAAGTCTGATCCATCTTAAAGTCAAGAGGTGTTACCTCTTCACTTCCATGTGCCCAGAATTTCCTCTTTTCAGTGCACAGGCAGAGGCAACCTTCACAGCATAATATGAGCTAAATAACCTTTCTTCTTTACCTCCTACAGACGCTGTGACTGATGAGAGTTAAAGGCCATGGATGAAGATGGGCTTGAATTGCAGCCACATGAGCCAAATGCATTTTTTGATCCAACAGGTCTGTCAGATAATATGTAGAGAAGAGCATTCTCATTAGATGCTATTGACTTTTTGTCGTTTGTTTTTGTCTTTACTTGAAAGTGCTGTGCTACATCAATGCTTTTGTAGAGTTGCTTTCGATTTTTGGTTGTTTTTATTACTCCGAGCAATATGAATGAGCTACTGTTCTGCCAAGTAATAGTTGTTTGGATACTGGGGGAGAGTCTAAAAATTGGTTACCTTTTCCAGGAGAGAAAATGTTGTTCATCTTAGTTATGTTAGCACCTACTGAGGACTTACTTTATCAGCTCCCCATATATCTGCCTATCTTAATTGCTTATAGGCTTTTATGCCTGTTTTACTAAATTGCAGCATAGCCTAAATGTTGAAGTAAAATAGAAGTAATTTCAATTATTAACCACTTCATCTGAGTTAGTTTTACAACTTAACTGCCGTTTTAATTATGTTTTTCAGGAGCTGATGCAGGGCATATGGACGGAGATCAGATTGTTGTGGAAGTACAGGAAACAGTATTTGTTTCAGATGTAGTCGACTCAGATATAACCGTGCATAATTTTGTTCCTGATGATCCAGATTCTGTCGTAATCCAAGACGTCATTGAGGATGTTGTTATCGAGGATGTTCAGTGCCCAGATATCATGGAGGAGCCAGATGTATCTGAAACTGTCATTATTCCTGAACAAGTGCTGGACACAGACGTGGCCGAAGAGGTTTCTTTGGCTCATTGCACTGTCCCAGATGATGTTTTAGCTTCTGACATAACAGCAGAAGCACTGTCTATACCAGAACACGTGTTGACAAGTGAGTCAATGCATGTGCCTGAAGTTGGACATGTAGAACATGTGGTTCATGATAATGTTGAAGAAGCAGATATTGTCACTGATACTCTGGGAACAGATGTTGTTTCTGAAGAAGTCTTGGTGGCAGACTGTGCATCAGAGGCAGTTATCGATGCCAATGGAATCCCTGTGGAACATCAAGACGAGAAGGGCAACTGTGAAGATTACCTTATGATTTCCTGTAAGTGTCTGGGTAAAGCCATCCAAATTCTTATGATATGGGCCTGGGTGGTGCTTGAAATATCTGAAGGAGGGCTTACAGTAGTACCAAAACCAGATTTTCTGTTTTATTTAATGAAATGCAAATCTCACAAACGTACTCAAATGGGGGTATTTTTTAGGAACATGAAATTCTGGTGAAGCTAATGGAGAGAAATACTGGCAAATGGATGTCTGATGTCTATTGCATTTTATAGTGTATGAACAAAGGAATAAGAATTGCGGTAAACTAAATGCCGTATAGTAGTAAGAACTGAAAGAAAATAAACGTGACATCGTTTGAAAATGCATGTATATGCAGGTTACCAAGATTACTGTCAAGACATTAAGAAAACAATTATTTCATGGAAAAGGGGAAGTAAAAAAAATACTGGTTTTTGGAAGTCCAAATGACGGTTTGTTATCCTTGTCTTGTTTTCGCTAAGCCCCCACCCCTTCCGCTCCATTTATAGTTAGTTACAGGCAACAATATGGTTTTCTTTGTTGTTAGAATGTGTTTTCTTCTCTTGATGAAGCAAAAGAGGGAGGTGTGCTGCTAACAAAAAGAGTAGCTATTGCTGCTTATAGCTGAGAAGCAACTGTGAATATCTTAATCTCCCTTAGGAACAATGGCACAATCCGTTTGAATCATGTTTCAAAAGACTTAAAGTAGAGGGTGGAGAAAAACAGAGCATATCATCAGTCCTTTTTCTACTGAGGATATCCATTGGTGTGAACTAGAGCTTACTTTAAGTATGTTACTTATTATAGTGCTTACTCAGTGCAGCACCTAGGAACATCAAAGTGTCACTGCTCAATGTTTGTTTGTTGTAGACATGTTAGGCTGTTTGGTTTAATTGCCATTTCAGGCACTTCAGCTTTGTCTAGCATTAAATGAGTCCATTGATGAGGCCTACTTCATGCTCTGCTTCAGTTACCTTTTTTTTCCTTTTTTTTTTCCTTTTAGACACTTTTTAAAATGTATAAATTGTTTTATTTTTATATTCTATACTTACGGATTTTAATGTTGCTTCTCCTTACCTAGGATCACTGCATTTCTTAATTTATCATCTCTTGAGTTCCTTGAGTAACCTTGTGCAGCCATGTTTTGAGTTTATATGAGGTACAGTTAATTCTCTATTATCTGGGAAAACAATGAAGTGGGATAATGCAAAATACGGATAACACAAAATATTGTAAAATTAATCTGCAGGATCATCCTGAGGTGAAATAGATCAGGGATGCTGCTCTCTGAAATAGTATTTATTGAAACTAATAAATGCACTCTGTACATCATGGTACAGATAGAACTTTCTGCTTCTGGACCTGAGTTAGATCAGATGAAAGTGGCTCAAATGCTTTTGCACCTGCAGCATAGTTAGGCAACAAAGTGGATAGTCCACCTGTGGATAATTGAGGCCTGACTGTGTAAAGACTGGTGGTGATCCCTACCTGTTTCTTATCCATGACTGTAGCTCTTTAAGATGCTGTTGCTCCTGTCTCTGTGGTCACCTGTTCCTGCAGGTTGTCATCCCGCAGCATGGGCAGCAGAGTGAGGCCTCTGGGGCTGCTGTCACAGGAGCACTTTGCAAACTGCGTGTGCGTACATTCGAGTGAGGGGGTGGGTAGATACATGTCCCATTCAGCCATTGCCAGTGGCTGAATGAGGACGGAATGTCTTGGTAGATACCATATTGCATGATCCCTAAAATACTCAGCTAAAAAGTCTTCCTAGATGTACCAGTCGTCAACAGGTGGTAACTGGCAGAAAACACAGGAGTGTAATGGTTCAGCTGTGCTGGGATATTCTCCGTTTTCAGTCATGTATTTCTGCAGTTTCATACTCTGGTTAATACTAAAAACCTCTTGATAGTCTTGCGATGTAGTTTTTTTAGATTCAGAGCCTTAAATAAGCCAGCATTTAAAACAATTTTTACACTACAAAACATGCATCCTTTCTATTTGTGCTTAAAATGTTAAGTATGTTCAACAGTTCATTTTAAATGGAAGTTCCCTATTACCACCTACTGTGTTTAAAGCCGGCATAACAAGTTCTTCTGGTTGTGAAGTCAGAGTCTGATGCTTTTCCATCAAGTAAAAACTGTCTTGCCAAATAGTCTCTTTGTTGTATGGAAAACATTATTTGAATTAATTTCCCTTTTTTTTTTTTTTTTTTTTGCATTGGCAGTGTATGTATTTATTGATCTGTTGACTGTCTCAGTTCTTCAGTTGAATTTACGTGGTTTTTAAAAGGTGGCAACATCAGTTTTTGATTTTTTTCATCCTAACCTGTGAATTTGTGCTTGATTCTGGCAGACCTCCCTGAACAGCTGGGGCAGATGTTGGAATGTAATTTCATCTGCCATTACAGTAGCCCAGTGTAGCTGCTTCCTAGATCTGGCAGCTAGACTGTTCTTCAGGATGCTTTTTCGTGTCTTCTTTTATCTCCTCACTTAAAAAGCGGAGGATGGCACTTTGTGTTTTTTCTGTCATAAGTTTCTCAGTCTATATTCTTCAATGGAATTTTTTAGCAAAATTTTTTTTGCTATCTTCTTCCTATCTTATGGCTCTCTTTAAGTATTTCCGGTTTGGTTCCTAATGAGCTGAGTCTACATAGATTTTCTTAAAATAAGATAATTTTCTTAGCTTTACCCTGAAAATACTTGTTTTGAAATGACTAATCTACATGTGCTTTTTTGTTAAAAGTTGTGTTGCTACTTTCTTTTGTGGTTTCGGGCTTTCTTGGTTTGTCTTTTCAAAGAGTGAAGTCCCTGTGGGTTTCATTCTGTGACTTTACTTCAATAAACTCAGTATTCTAATATTTCTTTTCCCATTTAGATTTAATTTAGCTTTTGCGTTGGTATGCCTTTGTTTTTTTTCATTTCCAAGATAAAGTTTCTTGGCACAGCTTATATTATCCCTTACCTTTTGATGTATTCACCTATTTTCTTGGATGCTTTGTCTTTGCCCTCAAGCTTCATTTTTGGTCGATGGTAGATTTGGGGCACTTCTGGCAGAGCAGAATCAGATACTCATTCAACAAAGAATGCAAACTGCGACTAGTTAGTCGCTTGAAAAGGATGCAAGGAGGTTTGATAGATCAGTTTTTCTTTCACATGTGCAATAACAAGCGAGTTCATGAGTTGAGTAAGGAAAGGATAAATTGTTTTCTGGCTCATGCTGATGCTGATTATTTGGTAGCAAATTTTAAGGCTTGGAAAATCATTTCTCCGTAAGTGAAACAGTAATGACGAGATTAGCTAGTGTTTGTCAAGACAACAAAAAAACACCCAGCATTCAGTAACCAAGAAAAGTCATGCCTTACACTTGGCCATAAGATGGAAATTAAGATTTTTTTTTTCTTGTCTGATTTTATTCCATTTAGCTAAGTAAGACACATCCTCTGGCATGAACTCATTCCATAAACAGAAAGTTTTACTCTGATATACTCAGATTTGATTGCAATAAAAATGATGAGGTCCTGAGGAGCTTTGACAAGGGGAGTCTGGAGAGTGGGAAGAGTAGCCTCGCAAAGTTTAAGCTGCAGTTTTAGCAAGTTTTGTGATGTTTGCAGATACAAGAGCTATGTAATGTCCATCCATATCCTTACTTCTTTGCTCTGGGTTAGACATGTCTTTTGTTTGTTGTAGCCGAATTAACGCTTCTCATTACAGGAGTCAGTACCCAGGGTACTCAAAGAGGGAATAACTGCCATCTTTTCATAGCTGTAGATGAAACTTTTCTTTTCTCATCCTTGTTGCACGTTTAAGTTGAAAGCAATGGATCTGATCAACAAAGCCATAATGTTCATGGCTTCATTAGGACCATCCAGTAGGCTTCTAGTCAAGAAACCAAAATGCTTTTATTTGCTTTTTTAGCATAAATAAGTACCTCCCTCTTTTTCCCTGGAGGTTCTTAAAAATGCAGGAAATCACATTTTTCTTTCTGTGAGGTGGAACTTGCTGCCGTGCTCCTGCCTGACCTCTGGAATGGTACCCACAGTTGTTGCAGCCGAGGCTGCTCAGGAGGTCACTGTGAGTGATGAGGGAGATGAGAGTTCCCTTGGGCTGAGTGGTGCCTCAGAGCTTAGTCTGATTTGTTTGCTGGGGAGAGCAGGACAAGGACGACAAGTGTTAGATACCAGTTTGGAGCTCAGGAAGTTCTCCTCTGCTAGGTGCTGCCCTGAGAGGAGCTTCAGATGCCCAGGGTATGCCATTGCGCCTATGTAATGCTAATGGCATTAAAATCAAAACAGAACATATTTCTGTTTTCTCACAGGTTAGGAAATCTGCTTTGCCATTTAAGAAATGACAGTAAAAAGTTCTTCAGTGAACTTCAGGAATTTTCTGCTATCAAGTGAAGTACAAGTGAAATGTTTCTATCACAGATAACTGAACAAAGTCTCTCTGGGGGATACAGCATGCTTTTACTCTATTTTAGAGAAAACAGAAGAGTTAGTGGTCTTTTTCATGAAGAATGGTTAAATAGGGTTATTTATTTTGTAAGCAAGTAAGTATCCCATGATAGGCTTTTTTTAACAGCGAAGAAAATAATTTGGGAACATAAAGGCTGACGGAATAGATGATTCTTGTCTTGATTGCTCCATAGACAGATTTTGAGATCTGTTAAACTGGTGTAGAGACAGACCTTTTCTTAGAATGTTTGTAAGAATTGTTTCAGTGTGTTATTTAGCAGTAAGCAGTGGGTACTTGAAAAAGATGGACAGTTTCTTAGTGCTCAAGTGAATTTTATCTTTTACGGCCCTTTTATTTTCCTAATTAATCCTATGTAAAGGAGAAACGGTAGGAAAGAATACATATAAAAGCGTATGGAAACTATTAAAAAAATAAAGACAGTTACAGATTATTTGCATTTTTCTAATTAGGAGTATAAAAGACTGCAAGGCTACAAAGTCTGTATCTGCTGATGCATTAAGTATTGGATATAAAAACCTAAAAACAACTTATTGGGAAAGTGTATGTGTCAGGGTTAAACAAAAGATGTACCATTTAAGCAAATGCAGGATGCAGGATCTTGGGCTAGCACTTATGCTTCCATGTGGGGAAACTGGCCTCATCTGGGTTTTAAATATTATTTTTATTATCAGTGCAAAGGAGCTTGTTTCTGTCCCAGAAATGCCAATGGACATGTTTTAATAGGAGGGCAAAGATGTAGGAGATAGTTATTGGTTGGACATTGTAGTTTATGACATCATAGGATTTTTTTAATTGGATGTAATATTTTCTAGGAGACAAATGCTGTCATCATGATAGAACACATAATAAACAATCTTGTTAATGTTGTCCACATCTTTTATTTCTTTGCTTTACTTTTATTCCTTTTTTTTTATCTGTTGGTCTCTTTCTGTGATTTCCTTGTAATGTAAATGATAACTAGACAGACTTTAAATATGCCATGTCTTTCATGTTGTGTGACACCTTTCTCATCTGTTTGTACTTTTAATAGAAATTCAAGCTTTATCTGTATGTGGAAGCAATTATTGCAACATCGGAGAAGCACATCCATTTTTCAGTTGTTTCTTACAGCTTATAGTATGCAAAGAGCAGGCTCCTCTAATCGGTGAAGTCTGTGAGGAACGTCAGCAAACTCACCGTAGAAAGCATTCTTGTCATTGGCTTTACGTAAAATAATGTTGTCTCTAATAATTTTTCTTCTTTGTTTTTAACTTCGCGAATTAGTCCAAATCCACTTGTTTACTGAAGTAAAGCTACCAGCTAGTAGAGGGGAAAAAAAAAAACCCCACAAACATTTAAAGTTTTTAGTTTTCAGTTAATCTCTCTAATTAAATGGAGGCACAAGGTATGATAGCATTGGAATAATGCTAGTCTTAGCGTTTTTCTAGCATGTGACTTGTGATTAGTTTAGTAACTGCCCAGTATCTGTCCTTGAAAGGAAATGGTCTTTTATCAGCTTGACTAATACTTTTAAGTACTTTTTTTTTTGTAATTTCAAAGAGGAACAATGTGAGAGGAGATCAGTCGTGCATGGTATTTGTGAGATCGCTTGATGGGCTGTGAATTTGAATGAAAAATTCAGACATCATCAGAGTTCCAACTTCAAACATTGATCAGTCAAGTATTTATGAATATAATTTTCACTTGATTGTGAGACTGAGATATGTGGAGAATGCAGAAACTTAGGGAAAGTGTTAAACAGAAATCAAATTTCATAAATGCTGCCACAGCATCAGTGAATCAGTATAGAGAAATGCTTATGTAGCCAGAGGACAAAATACCATGGAAATGGTGCTTTGTGTGATAGATACCCGTTCTCTTTCACCTTGTTTGTCTCTTCTTTTGATTTTTATCTTTTTTTCTACCTTTTTCATTCCACCCTACTTTTCTTCCTATTACCTGTTTGCTGCAAATACTGTTATTTTTCAGGCCCTTCATCAGGGACTTTAGTTTTTCAAGTATTGCCACCTGTCAAGAGTGAATTTTTTTCCTTTTGAATGAGAAAAGTTGGCCTGATGTTCCTACATCAGGGAAATCGGGGATAAACAAACTCTAAATTATGTAACGATTTATTTTAGTCATATTTAAAAGATGGCTTTGAACCTGGGAGAACTTACTTCAAAGAGTAAATGAAGCATATGTTTAAGATACAGAATTCATCTGTTGTGTGAATGTTATCAATGGATACTTCCATATATGTATGGAAGTAAAAAACTCTGTTTTGGTTAAAAGAAGCCAGCCTGTTTCACGTGGTGCACATAGGTTTGTTTTCTCTTTGGTTGCTTCGGCCACAACTTCTGTTTCTTGAGCATGTTCCAGCATCAGTTGAGCTTGGTGGCGGACTTCCCGTTTGGCTTCAGCAGTGTAAAATCAGTCTACGCTGATTTGAAAGCCTTCCAAGTACACGTGCGTGACACTGGGAACAGCCAAGTTAAAGGAGAACAACTGCATAAATCTAGTGTAGGAATGAAAGCAAGTTTTCTTTTTGTCAGAGTTCCGGTGACGTTTGGTGTTTCATGCACATGCCAAACAATTTATGAAAGTCTGCTCAGTAACTGAATATGTGCACTGTGGAGTTAATGTTGTTAATATGATTCAAAAGAACCTCTTAAGGTTTTTACTTTTGAAATGCTTTGGGGTTGCAGCTACAAGATGTTACATTGTCCTGTGGCACAGAATCATTTTTTAAACATCATACTGCTTGAAACATTCTATGTGGTGGCCATTGTTTGTGAACTTGCCATGAGAGTATGTAATGTTTCTTCTGCTGCTCTTTTGGTGAGGGGAGAGAGAGACTAATTTATTTTAGTGCTTCATAATTTAATGTTATTCGTATTTCTTTGTGAATAATGGTGCCTGATTGAGAAACTGTACTTAAATTGATACATGAGACAGAACATGTACTAGTTTGTCTAATTAAAGGCTAATTTATTGACTTCGCAGTAGGAAAATAATAGTAATTACATTTTGAGCTTTTTTTAAAAAAAGTAGATCTTAAAGTAAATGGAGGAGTTGCAGTTACTGAGTAGTAAAGCTATGATTTAGTTATGAGGGTAGTTTAATGACTGTCAGTAAAATGAGCATTCTTTATTAAGTATTTTGTATGTGCTAGGCATGGTGGTTAAAAATTCTACAGCCTTTATGGGACGGTTTTTACACTTCCTTTAGGATAAATTTAATGTCATCTTGTCATGAATTGAAGTTATGCATGGCACTGAGGGAGCTATGTCAGCCTCCAAGAGTGACTTTTTCAACAATAAATTTAGTCACAAATTACAAAAGTATGCTATCATGCTAAGAACTCTTAAGTAATCTCAACATGCGAGACACTTCTCAGGCTTCTGAAATTGGGAGATTCTCTGAAGGTCTTGAGATGCTGGATTTGATTTTTGTGAATGCATATTTAGTATTTATTTCTTGAAAATCCACACTTGGTAAAGTACGATGGTATGCGTGTGCACTTGCCTATGTAGAATATGTTTTAAAAAATCAGAAATATGTTCCTCATGAAGCTGGCTGTTGGCCATGTTTATGTGGGAGGCCTGGGCAAGTTAAGGCAATTCAAACAGAAGCGTGGTGTCGGTGCAGTTCTGAAAGGATGAGAGCAAAATTTAAGACAATAGTAAGGAGCTTACATAGGGCTATGGCATAAAATCCAGTGCAAGTCCCTTTCAGTGAGGGCATGATGAACAATCAGTTAAATAGGTTCACCTGTGCTGTAGCATCAGGGCAGCACCTTGCCACTGTACTCGATCCCTCAGCTGTTGAGTGGATGAGAGAACGAGAGGGTTTTCTTCCTGTAGTTTTCATTTTGGTTTCCTCTCTAACCAGCTGAAGGAGCATCCATAACACTGCTTTGCAAGGAACCATGTCTGACTGGCAGGAATAGCACTGCTTGCATTAAGAGACAGGGTCGAGAAACAGATAATGCTTTTGAAAAAAAAAAACAGTTAACAGCTTATTAGTTGTGAAGGAGAAAGCAATTAAAACTGAGAATAAGTAAAATTATGCCAAAGAGTAAGTACTAATGTGCAGTTTCTTCCTACTATCATCTTGCTGCAGATCACTGTTTTGCTGTTAGAGTTGCCTGGTGCGGTGCTCATGCTTCTAGTCATGTCACTGCAGCATTCTTGCACTTCCCCTTAACTAGAAGATAAGGCTTGAATTTATTTTTGTGTTTATTGTCGTTGGTTTCAAGGATATGAAAAAACTAATTATGGGTAGGTTCTTTATCACAACTTTTAAATTTTAAACTGCTTCCAAATTTGAGTAATAAAGTCTTTCATACCTGTCTGTTTGTATAACTGTGTAATTATAATAACTTGTCTTTGTAGTGGATGATGCTGGTAAGATAGAACACGAAGGTTCTGCTGAAATTACCATGGAAGCAGAGTCAGAAAGTGGCTCTTGTAAAGTGGATGGCATTTGTCCAGAAGTCATCAAGGTCTATATATTCAAAGCAGATCCTGGAGAAGATGATTTAGGTAAAATATACTCATTTTAGAATACTCCAACCTGACATTTGAAATATTGCATAATTAGAGGCTGTGGTTTCTCTCAAGTCATCTGTAAAGAGCTGTGGGTCTAATGTTAAAGAGTCACAAACTTTGTTTTCTGTGGTTTAGCACAGAATATGAACAAAGTGTGTTTAAAATAATTTCCTCTGGTCTTCCTAATTAGGGGGCACAGTTGACATTGTGGAGAGCGAGCCAGAGAATGACCATGCAGCTGGATTACTTGATCAAAATAGCAGTATTCGTATTCCAAGGGAGAAAATGGTTTACATGACTGTAAATGATTCTCAGCATGAAGACGAAGACTTAAGTAAGTAGGTGGCTTTCCTTTGGGAACAGGGATTTTCACTTTCAACAGTGCAGTGTTCCTAATAATTTTTTTTCTTGTTTTTTTTTCTCTTAGATGTTGCAGAAATAGCTGATGAGGTTTATATGGAAGTGATTGTAGGAGAGGAGGATGCAGCAGCAGCCCATGAACAGCAAATTGATGACAATGAAATTAAAACTTTCATGCCCATAGCTTGGGCAGCAGCTTATGGTAGGTAATACTCAAAAAATTCTTCCTGGTGATGCTGTCTATACCAAAATGTTGGGGATTGTATTTTGGAGGGTGGTGGAGTATGTGTGCTTTTGTGTTTGTTCTTGAAGTTTTAGTTTAAGAATGGTTTCTGCACATAATGAGCCTTAAAATTAAAGAGAGAAGCAGTAAGGCAGGCTGCTGCTTATTCCTATTTTAACAGGCATTTTCCTTCATATTTTCATGATGTGGAAGGGAAAGTACACGAGCCTTCAGCATGAAAATTGCATCTCAAGTACATCTGTCCTTCACAGTTTTAGGACACAGTAAGAGCTGGCTTGGGAATAGAACTGAATATTTTTATTTTGAGAGGGGAAAAAAAAAGCAGATGGGAATATGTAAGATTCAATGTAGCAGTGAAAAGCAACACTGACCTCTAGCATTGATTTAAATGCTTTCTAGAAGGAACATATAAATATGTGATTTCACTAATGGAAATAATTTATTAACAAAAAAGAAGCTAGAGGGAGACATCTTAAAATCATAGCAGAACCTTGAGAATATTTCCAGCATGCTGAGCCGTGCATCTTGAACATCAGTATCGGAGCACCAACTGGTGCGCAGACTGATTTCCAAAACTTACATAATCTGATAGACCAAAATGTGGTGTTCCATGTTGCCACATTCTCCTTCTAAACATACTTTGAGTAAATGAAGCAGAAAAAATGATGGAGTAGAGGACAAAACTTAGGTTATGTGCCTGCATGGTGTGAATTGTGGTGGTGGTGCCAGCAAACAAATGGCAGGGAAGTGCTGAGAATGCAAAATGGAGACTGGAATCACTGATGTAAGTCAAGGGAGGGCAAGATTTTCAGGGAGCAGCGTGTGTTAAAAGTTGTTTAGGAGATGGATGGTAGTGCACCCAGAGTCCTTTCTTTGACCATATACTGGTGAGCACAGTTTCAGTGGAGACGAAAGGACAGAAGCCAGGTTGAGTAGCTATTAAAAACGATACTAAGTGAACTTGAAACAACAGTTGTAGACTGAACATTCAGTGATTTTGGAGGAGGAGAAAATTGGGCAGAGTGTATCAGAGAGATGGAACAGAGAGAGGGAATTGAAAGGAGAATATAAGAATCATGAATATTCATTCTCAGTACTCTATAAAGGGAACAGCTATTGAGCGTCTTGCACTTTCTTCCACTTCAATCTTCCCGTCTTATTTGTGTGCTTTCCCTTCCCTAGGAACTGCTGCTTTCTGTTGATTCAAGTACATACTTAACCACCACATTTGTTATTAAAATTTACTTACGCCTTTAAATCACCAGTGTTAAACTGATTGCCAATAAATACCTTCTCGACTATATAGATATATTTACTTGTAATTTTCATGTTTGTTTTGCATCCAGTGATACCATTTGTGTATTAAACATGAAGCTCTGTGAGGCAGATTGTTTCCTTCTATTGTACAATACCGAGCATGCTCTTTGTTCTCAGTAGAAAGAATTCGTAAGTGTTAAAGCATCAGGTGTGCAAATAGTAAGTAGTGTACCTTGTGTGCAAGTTTGTGGGCTCTTCAGGACAATTCTGTGGTCACAGTGTGAGAAACTTCAGTCAGGTGAATTCAGATGTCCAGAAGTGAATGGGGGCTCACACATGAATGTATTTTGGGGACTGAGAAGAAAATTGGGCACTGTAAATACTGCCACATGCTGTTGTTTACTGATGCTAAACGTATTGGGCATAATTAGCCTTCAAAGAAATGCAGAAAATTTTAAAGGAGAATTCTTTGTGAAATGGAAAACCATTAATTCCTGTAAATTGTGTACTTCTGTAAAATTGGTTTAATTAATTAAGCCAATGCTTCCAGATTCATAACAAACATAATTCATAAGTTGCTTACAGAGAAGTTTTGCAGCTCATCCTGTACTTTATTGCGGTTTGATTAAATGTCCAGATAATAGTTTATAATTTCTTTTATTGTCACTGTAGAGTTTGTTGCTCTAATTATCCATAGAGTGATGGCAGTAGGTAACTTTTCAACTTATCTTGTTAGGTAATAATAATGATGGCATTGAAAGTCGGAATGGCACTGCAAGTGCTCTTTTGCACATAGATGAGTCAGCTGGACTTGGGAGACTGGCTAAGCAAAAACCAAAGAAAAAACGGAGACCTGAGTCTAGGCAGTATCAAACAGGTGCGTATCCGGTGGCTGGCTGTACTGTCATTCCTCTAGGCACTTACTGTAAACAGATTTGCTTTGCTGATAGCATGTGCAATGTCTTGTAAAAAACCTGATTATTTGGGGAATTATTTTGTTGATAACACTTCTGCATCATAAATGAGTGCATATTTTATTTTAAAGTTGTTTTGGATCGCAGGGGGTGTTTCAAAGGAAGCTCTCTGACAGGAAAAATATCAGTATCATAGCAAAAGGTTCAAAACCTCTATACTTAACTTGCCACACCAATTTTAATCTTTAATGTAACTTTTTTAAAGATGATGTTAGACAAACAGTGTTCTGTAATAGCACTTTTTAAAAACTCTTTTTGTCTTTATTGAAAACATATGGAACAATAAGTTTCATTATATCAACTCACCAAGTAAGTGGAAAATCTGAACATTATATATTAGAGTAGGTAGTTGGACTTCTATAACCTTTTCTGTTTTAATTGTGAAATAAATTGCCTTGATGTTCATGCCAATGTTCTTACTTGCATCTGTAAGAACAGATGCGCTGTTTTGGTGTTTTGGCATTATGTGGTTTCTGCTGTTACTGTGTTTTGGGCTGAATGATTTATTTGGTCTGATAAAGTTGAAAAAGCACACGACTGTTTTCTTTAGTAGCCTTGCCTTAATTGATACTACAAGTTTCTTTTCAAATCATGACTTAACTGTAGGAGTTCTGTTTTGTCTAGCACTGAATTAGTAAACCAGGCAAATTTAGAGTTTGCTTTTTCTATTTCCAGCTACCTAGTCAGTTTTCCTTCTAAAATATTTTTGGAAAAAAGAGCTTTTTAGCATGCCTAGACAAATTCAGGTTAAGCAAATCAGGCTGATGGATGGAGTGCAAATAAGTTCCAAAGCTTTGAGGTGTCCGCATGTGAAATGTGCTCTCCCTGATTCCTGCTTGATGCCTCTTCAGATTGTAACTGTGACAGATGGCACAAGAAAGAGGTGTTAGTTTGGGGACATGTGGATTGTAGTCAGCGGTAGGTGATTAAAATGCCAGATTAAACTTTTATCTACAGATTCGTGGAAAATCAAAGACGATCCTGCGCTGTGCTTACTATGTAATACTCAATTTGACAAAGTTGGCTGCCGTTTTTCGCACCAGCGTCAGTTTCTGTGTGTATTTGATGAGGGAATTCAGTCAGAATTCTTCAAAGTAGAGTTATTTGACGTGAAGAGCACCTGGGTGATGCTTTGGTGTCTCCATCAAAAAACAGTATTTCCTTTCTCCAGATAATAATAATGAATGAAAGTAGTAATTCCCTCAATTTCTTCTACCTAACCCAGTAACAAGCTTATATATTGTATAGTAAAGTGTATGCGTCAGACTCTGATCTCGTTTAACAATTCAGCTTATTGTTAAGGTTGAAACTTGGCATTTATTGAGGTGGAATATTGTTTTATAATATTGATAAAGGGCTTTTTGTTGTTTTTCAGCAATAATCATTGGCCCTGATGGTCATCCGTTGACAGTCTACCCCTGTATGATTTGTGGAAAGAAATTTAAATCTAGAGGTTTCTTGAAAAGGCACATGAAAAACCACCCAGAGCACCTTCTTACCAAGAAGAAATACAGATGCACAGACTGTGATTACACTACGAATAAAAAAATAAGTTTACATAACCACTTGGAGAGTCATAAGCTGACCAACAAAACAGAAAAGCTTATTGAGTGCGATGAGTGTGGGAAAAGCTTCTCTCACGCAGGAACTTTATTTACTCACAAGATGGTGCACAGGGACAAAGGAGTTAATAAAATGCACAAGTGCAAATTCTGCGATTACGAGACAGCAGAACAAGGATTGCTGAGTCATCACCTTTTAGCTGTCCACAGCAAGAACTTTCCTCATATTTGCGTGGAGTGTGGCAAAGGATTTCGCCATCCGTCAGAGCTCAAGAAGCACATGCGCATCCACACTGGTGAAAAGCCCTACCAGTGCCAATATTGCGAATACCGATCTGCCGACTCTTCTAACTTGAAAACTCACGTAAAGACTAAACACAGTAAGGAAACGCCGTTGAAGTGTGATATTTGTTTCCAGACTTTTTCAGATACCAAAGAGTTACAGCAGCATACGCTCATGCATCAAGAAAGTAAAACGCATCAGTGTTTGCATTGTGACCATAAGAGCTCAAACTCGAGTGATCTGAAACGACACATAATTTCAGTCCACACGAAAGACTATCCTCATAAGTGTGATATGTGTGATAAAGGCTTTCATAGGCCTTCGGAACTGAAAAAACACGTGGCGGCTCACAAGGGTAAAAAATTGCACCAGTGCAGACATTGTGACTTTAAGATCGCAGATCCCTTCATTCTGAGCCGCCACATACTCTCAGTTCACACAAAGGATCTCCCGTTCAGGTGCAAGAGATGTAGAAAGGGCTTCAGGCAGCAAAACGAGCTGAAAAAACACATGAAAACACACAGTGGCAGGAAAGTTTATCAGTGTGAGTACTGTGAGTATAGCACTACAGACGCCTCGGGCTTCAAACGGCACGTTATTTCCATTCACACAAAAGACTACCCTCACCGTTGTGAGTATTGCAAGAAAGGTTTCCGAAGGCCTTCAGAGAAGAACCAGCACATTATGCGGCATCATAAAGATGTTGGGCTGCCTTAAAGTCTCTTCCACAGACTGACGGCTGGAATTATAAAGGAATTTTGCCTTCCAGGCAGTTAGCTTATTTTAAAGCCAATCACCTGCGATCACACACACACACACACACACAAAAAAAAAAAAAAAAAATACTGTGCATTTGATTTGTTGCTGTATAAAAATAGGATTATTGCTTCTAGTTGACTTTTATACCTTTTGTTCAATAGCGTGTTCTGAATTCTATTCAGTTTGTTTAATAAATGAAGAAAAGATGGCAACAATAAAGTTGCATTTAATAAAGTAAACCCTGTCTCTTACTGAATTTTTCAACCGTAATAGTTTATTTAAGTATATTTATCTTACTGACCTCGTTGATACTCAGTGTCCATGTTAATGCAGTTTTGTCGTGAATTTTGAAAATATGAAATTTCTCTTGATAAAATTGTCAGAGGTGTGTATAAGATGGGGAATTGCGATGTTGGAGTCGCTAAGGCCCACCTGATTGTCTCGTTTTGACTATACAGACTTTGTGGCAGGTTAACTATTTTCCATTTGAGGAGTTACACATCCGACTTCACTGGGGAAAGCTGTTCTGCGTTTTAATTCAGGTTTCAGAGGGAAAAAATTTTAGAAGATGGTTTGAGGCATTTGTTATCTTTCTTTGGCAAATTTAACAGTACACTCAAATGATATGTTTATTGTTCTGTGTGCTTCTTTGTCTTTTGCAAGGTTTTGCGTGTAACAAATGAGTTGGTTTTTTTTCAATTTCCTGCTGTCTTAATGTTGGAAACATAAAATGCCGTTGTTCCGTTTGCAGAGTTAATAGATCACAACTGTCTGTACGTGCCGGTAAACGTACCTCAAACTTAATGCTTTTATGTATATGAGAATGTCTTTGAAAGAACAGTTTGTCGTTCAAGTCACATTTTTGTTGTGAGTTGGTTTAGAATAAAATTTAAGACCAAGAGGTGCCTCGATTTTGGAAATGAGCTATTTACAGCAAGAGCTTCAGCGGGGGGTGGAGTGGAGCAGACGCATCTATAAGGAGCAGAGGTGTTTTAATGTAGATATCCTTAATAAAAAGAGTAACTTACGATGGTAGCAGAACTGTTTCTAAATTGAATGTTTTTCCTGAGCAGCTGTGTTAAGCTGCCGTTTATTAATTAGTACAGTATCCAGAATTAACCCAGTTCTTTTAATCTGTTTATAAACAGCTGGGATAACATTACAATTATTATATGCAGTTTTCCCACCTGAAGACTATTATAAAACAGCATCATATCATTTTGCTAATGGCAGCATAAACATACCAAGCACAGAGTCATGTACCTTGACAACAACTGTGGAGAGGAAAAAAAAAACAAACCATTTAATGACATGCCAGGTTTTAGGACCCGGTCCCACTCCCCTTGCTCAAATCCCCACTGAAGCCACTGGTTGATGATGGATTGCAGAATTTGAACCCGGCTGCCTGCCAGATTAGGGTAGATTTGAAACCGACAATCCGCTGATGGAAAGGGTTCAGCACCTGGCCCAGCGCTGACTCTTGTTTCTAGGCAGGTAAACTTCCCATTGAAATCGAACAGGAATTTTAGCAGTGGTTTCAGGCTTGGGGTGATAAAGGGACAAAGGTTTCCTTTTGGATGTGCATCTTCTAGACCTTCTGTGTTGTGTTTTGTCACTGAGCCCTGCTCCTACTGCTCAGCCCTTCTGTTGCACTGTAAGCTGAAATAGTTGTGTTTAATTTGGAGTTCAGGAGAGTCGGATGCCATGCCACTACCTTTATTGTATGGGTTTTTTTCCTTTTGATGCCTGCTTGACAGTGCCCCTAGACTTGCCCAGCGTGCCCTTGTATGATACCGCTGCTAACAGGCCGTGAACCTTTAGTGTGCGATGCCTGGACGTGCTGCACTGTGCCTTCGTTGAAATCCTCGCAGGAGTTAGCGGATTTCCGACATGGCCGTAGCTGTCCGTTGCCTACTGATTGCCAAATCAGATGCCGTAAAACCCAGTACAGATTTTCCATTCGCGTCTTGCAGAGTGCCCTCCTGCGACTTTTGTTTTTTCCCCCCTCTTACTTTCAAGCGTTTTCTAACTGGGAACCTGAAAAGTGTACAAAATCTGCATAAATTCCCATAGCATTGCTGAGGATTTTAGCCATTTTGAACTTTATTTTTTTAAATAAGCTGAAAGACAAAGAACACAATTTTACGCATTTTCTTTCTGTTACGTAGCCTGGAATCATACACACTTTTTTTTTTTTTAAAGCACAATGTTTTGGGTTTTTTTAATAATTAAGGGTTTGGTCAAGTGGATTTTGTAAAATGTATTTGTCTGTATAAAGAGAAAATGAAATAGTTATTGTTAATGTACTGACATTAGTTGCAGGTTAGTTTTAATTCTTAAATAATTTGCTTAGCAAATGCTATAAAATGGATGTTTCAGTTTAATGTTTAAAAAAGGTACAGATTTTTACAAGGACATAATATAAATTATTGTTCTGTAGAAAATACCCTGTTAAATATTGTATACGTCCTTCCCTCTGTACACTTTGTAAAAAAGACAAAAGAAAAAAACAAAATACATAGAATCATATAGGGATGTGTGACATTATTGTAATTGTGTACTTGATAATAACGTGAAAAAATAAAATTCAAAATATTTTCCTGTTAATGAACGTTTAGTCTATTCGATGCCAGTACGGAGATCAAGCGTTGTTCTGAGGGACACGGTCATCTGCAGTTCTGATGCACTTTAGCTTATTTTTCTGCTCCCTGTTTTTCAACTCGTTTTGTGTAGTACTGGGGCGCGGGTGATTCCGTCTCTCATTCGGTTGAAACGTACCTTTACGAGAAAGTCTGCAAAAGTGAAAGGCAGGGACGGTAGGTCTTTGAAATCCATTTTAAAGCCTGTTTTTATATTTAAAGGATTTGTGTCTGTTAAACGTCTCATAATGCCTTAATGCTTTTCAGCAAGGTGGTTACCTACCAAGTGCTGCTCCCCTGTCCCAAAAAGCCTCCACCAAGCCTCGAGCCTAACGAGATGTACCGCTGTCGTTGAAGCTAAATCAATAAACGATGTTTCCTGGTGCCTCTTCTTCTTGTGCGTGAGCCCCTACGGGTGCTGCCCTTGCCCTTGGGGCTGGCGGGAGCCCCCCTCCCTTCCCCTCCTGCTGGGATCGGCCAGCGCAGTGTAGCTCAGGCAGTGAGATGCCCAGGCTGGGTCTGTGCCCTTCCTTGCCACCCTGCCCCAGCGCCTCTGCCCTCTGCTCCCTGGTGGGGCTGGCACTGGCCCAGTAGGGATGGAGAGGGCTTACGGCTGGTTTTCCCACTGGTTTAGGAACACTTCAGCCCAGTTGAATTAAACTGCCCGTGTGGGAACTATTTTGCTAATAGCTCCTCCAGCACAGGTCATCCTGCTTTAACCATGCGTGTGACCTAATGTCAACCCTCTGCCCCCACTAAGCTAATGGCCGAAGTGCTGTTGGGTGTCACTGCGCTCTGCACCTGCCTGAGAAGGAAGGAGGTGAAGCGTGGAGGTGGCGTGTCTGCTGGCCCAGATCTCGTCAGGATAGTTAGCCCAATTAGTTCACTCTCGCTGGATGCCTTTAGGAAATGCTGACTCACTCACTCCTCATCTTGGTTCCTCGTGCAGCCAGACTGGCATTGGGCAACTCTTCACAGCAAGAAGCTGTCACGCTTCTGAGTTGTCAGCAATCTGCTTTGGTTTGGTTTGATTTGTTTTCTCCAGCGACCTGGTGTTCCTCAACTGCTCGTCATGAAACTGCACGTTGAGTACCAGAGATGCTCAGGGCACCAGAGAACAAATATCCCTATTTCTGCCTGCTGTGAGGAAGAGGCAGGAGGAGGGAGTTAGTTCTAGCTCATGCAGACTAGCAAATCCCACCCTCCCCTTGGGTCTACCCTCCTTCCTCTTGGATTTCCTCGCTGTGAAAGCCTCACTGCTTCCCTGCCAGGCTCTGCTGAAGGCTTGCCCAGGTGCCTGCAGCCCGCACGGGTGACATCCCCCTCAATGGGACACAGCAGCGAAAGCACCCAGAGGCAGGAGAGCCTGGGTGCCAACCTGAGAGTTCTCTGACAGCCTTGTTTGTGAGCCAAAAGGCTGTACCAGTAATTAGGAAGAGAAGTATCTGGCTAACAGCTCACTGCAGTTCGCTGGTGTGTTAAAGGTAGTAATTAAAATTAAATAATATATCATTAATAGGAAGCACAATTAAAATGTTAACAATTATGACAGGTAGAAAACTGAGCAAGGAGTGGCTGCCTGGAACCAATAAGCAGGTCAGCAGAGTGGTCAGGAGTAAAGAAGTAGTTGTCAATAGACACAGAAGGCCGGCATGCTAAAAACCTTTTATTAGGTGGAGAAGTTTGAAGGGAGGGTTGTTTTGGATTCCTTCAACTGATGATGCAGAAAAGGCAAGCGTTTTGATATTTTTTTCTTTTCTAAAAGTAGCAGAAGTATTAAATGAGTCTGGGGATGTTTTTTTCTGGACCTGTGGCAATCAAGCATGCTATTAACTTCTATAGGTGATGAGCGCTTGAAAAACTGCAAGCACAGGTGGTTCAGAGGCCATGTAGCATACAGGCTTCGTAATATTTACCGAATCCCACAGGAATTCCACAAATATGGAAAAATGTTTCTGTTGTATTGAAGACAAAACTTAGAGGGTCATGTCAGCACGAGCCTGGGGAAAACTTCAAGATAAAGAATTGCTGCCATCAGGACCAAGTAAAGAACCTGAAGGGAAAAGAAAAAGAGGCAAACGCAAAGAACACATCCTATGTTATAGAGCATATATATATATATATATGCCCTAGCTTTGAACAAGCTGATTCAGCACCTTGATAGTGCAGAGCTCATAGGCTGAGCCATTGCTGGCATCAAAGCACAACCCCACGCACACCCAAGCCCCACGTGCCACCACCCCTGCTCACCCTCACTCTGTCCCTCGCCTTATTTTCTGCTGTAGTTTGACTGTTGATCAAGGCTGACTTGAACCAGCTCCACTGTGGAGCCAAGGGTGGCATGTCATGAGCTTCAGGACAGGCAACTCCACTTGGGGTGCTTGTCTCTGCTCACCCGCTGGCTAGAGGATGCCTGTCCA